GGCCTTCAGGTGCCTTGGAAAATAGCTTGACTCTCTGTGGTAGCCCCTCAAATATTAGAACACTGCTATCCTGTCTCCCCTGTTCCTTCTCTTCACCAGACTAGCCAGGCCCAGTTCCTGCAACCATTCTTCATATGTCTTAGTCTCCAGTCCTTAATCACCCTGATTGCTCTTCTCTGAACTTTTTCTAGAGTCTCAACATCTTTTTTATAATGTGGTGACCAAAACTGGATGCAGTACTCTAGGTGTGGCCTTACTAAGGCATTAAGTAATCCACTTGTGTGTCCTTTAGTGATAGCAAAAGCTTTTAGTGTTTCCACTGGTACAATCAAGTAGAAGTTAAAATGGTGTCCCAAAAGTGCTTTTTCAAGAAGTCCATTTGCCTATTGGAAAAAAAAAGCATCTTTGGGACAACCATGACCTGGATGACTGAGAAGCTCCACAGACAGTTAAGATGAACAGAAAGAGAATGAGAGACAGAAAGCATAAAGGAAGGGTTTCATGCTATCCTTTGTTTTTAGACAGGACACTCAGAAAGCTGTCGGATTTGACAGAACACTCCATTAAAATTTTAAACCATACTTTTCTGCATGTAACCCACTTGTATTCGTTAAAAAAAAAGCCCAAACTACAAAATGCATAGGCCGAATTTTAATGAGTCCCATGGAGTTTCAGGGGCCCTCGCTGTGCATCACAGAAAGAATTTCAAAAGGGAATCACTGCCCCCTACTGGGAATAATGAGTATTGCCTTTTTTCTCTCTAGCCCAGCTGGTACTGTACAAAGTTTATTATTCTAAGCATGGATTAGATCGCTACAGTTGTACGTTTTCCAAAGTCCTTCTTAATCAAATTCATTTTTAAGTGGTAACCTGGCCGAATATCTGCTTGTTATTGCACAATAGCAATTGGCAGCAATAGAAAGACACCAGCAGAATAGCTGGATTTGGGGACTGCTCCTATTATTACCAATTACAAATTTGGGGATTGCTCAAATCTAGCACCAATTGTTTATTTATACCCCGCCTTTATTACTTTTACAAATAACTCAAAAGTGGAAAACATGTCTAATATACCTTCTTCCTCCTACTATTCTCACAGCTGCCCTGTCACATAAGTTGGACTGAAAGTGACCAGCCCAAGATACCCAGCTGGCTTTCATGGCTAAAGCAGGACTTGAACTCACAGTCCCCGAGTGATTGGCCCAGTCATCCAGCCAGTTTTCATGATCAAGGGGAGATTAGAGCTCATGTTTTTTTAGTGATTGGCCAACTGGCAAAGCCAGTGGGCTTTCATGACTAAGGCAAGACTAGAACCCATGGTTACCCAGCTTCTAGCCTAGTACCTTAACACCAGGGGTGGTATTCAGCCGGTTCTGACCAGTGTTGGAGAACCAGTAGTGGAAATTTTGAGTAGTTTGGAGAACCGGCAAATCCCACCTCTGACTGGCCCTGCCCCCATCTATTCTCTGCCTCCTGAGTCCCAGCTGATTGGCTGGGTCTTCTTTTGTTGCCCTGCACAGGAGGACGGAGCTGGAAAGCAGGTTAGTGGAGTGGGGAGGGAATGTGGATTTTGCAGTATCCTTCCCCTGCCACGCCCACCAAGCCACGCCCACAGAACCAGTAGTAAAAAAAAATTGAATCCCACCACTGCTTAACACTAGACCAAAACCGACCCTTTAACTCGAGTTATTTTATTTTGTGATCTTAGCCAGCAGACTGATGATTTTTTTCCTTCTCTGCATGGAGTTATGGCTTTGTAGGATAAAATGAACAAGCTTATTTGGGGAAGAAGGGCAAGAAATGTGTTCAAGTACAGGCCATTCATTAAAAACTAATATACCAGTGCCGAAAGTCAGGCTTTCTTCTGCCCTTCCCTGTTAAACTTCTGCACTGGAAACTTGCAGCCACCAATTTATTCTTTTGCCGGCTATTCTTATGCTGTTTGGGGAGCATTGGGGCTGAAGTGAAGGATAAAATATGCTTCAAATAAAAGCTGGTTGCAAACAGGAGTGTTTTGATTTCCTTCACGTAAATAGCAGGCAATAATTCCTCCTTGGAGGGTGATGGCTTAGGTATGAAGTACATAATTACTTAGCACAACCAGATTACTATATCATACTCCTGAAGATAGATGCAATGAGGTAGCAGTTATGATTCATGTTGCTATCCTGTCTTAATGCTCTGGAATTGAAAATATCCCTATATTTTCTTTTTTTTAAACCGTGTTTTGTTAAATTTGTTACATCGAAATGTCAAAACAACAGAAATAGTGGATTTTGGCAAACCAGTTCTTATTTTGCCTAATATTTCCTTTCCCCATTTGAAGAATCCCATAAATTTCCCAGGAGTCGCAACGGTGAGCCATGGATCATCAGAGACACAAAAACTGTAGGAAGCTTCAAGCTGGACAATTTTTTAATTATTATTTCTGCTTTGGGGGGAGCACTGTGGAATTGAATAGCATCTTTGTGTATCCCTTGATGTGTTTCCATAGCTTCCATTTTTAAAAAGTGATTATATGGTAGTGAAATAAAGACAAAGGAAAAATTGCTTTGTCTAGAAATTTTTTAAAAAGCTTCAGTACTGTACTTCATTGTTATTGTTGACAGCTGCTTTTATTTATTTGTTTTATTAAATTTAGATGCTACCCAGCTCTCTGATAGGGTGACTTTGGGTGGCTTACAGAACCCAAAAAGATAAATAGAAAAGCAATCAAAATGTTTAAAATGTTAAAAATATGCAAAAACAAAAAACCCAGAACCAAGAATGGTTTTGCTTTGCAAAAAAATGTTACGGTTTCTATTGTGTTAACGCAATACTTTCTCAATTGTAAATTCAACTGTGGGAACCTCGAACCTCACTTGCCCTTTTAAAAAGTGCTCCAAGTCTGTAACAGGTAAGGGAGAAATTGTTACTCTGAACACTCTTCATGAAGTAGAAAAAGTTGATGGGATGATGGTGATGTACTTTTCTCGGTGTTACATGGAAATTATAGGTGCAATTGTTAATTTTGGTGTTTATAAGATTCACTTATGTATTAAGGATAAGAGATGAATCATTATGTTTGGAAAATCATGGTGGTGTTGTCTGTCATGGACAGTTTTAATGTTCCAAACTACAACTTTTCTCTATAAACTCTGTAAAATAAATGAAAATGCAGGAAAAATAACAGAGACCACAACGTAGACTTTAACCTGGCTTCATTAATTGCTGAGTTGTACATCTGAGGTTTGTGGGACTGTTAGGTTGTTCTGTTTTTAATAGCACAAGACACCTGAAGTCTGGTCATAGCATTACAGTACAAATTAAAAAATAAGAATATTAAATGAACACATCTGCCCCCGTACAGCGCGGAGAAATGAGAATCTAAATATTTACAAGGGAGGGGAGGAAGTGGAATGCACAAAAATATTTACATAAAAGAACATGAGCTTGTCGGCATATACATTTTATACCAGTTCTTACACACAAGAGTAAAAAATAAAAATAATAAAAAATAAGACACTATATAAATTAAAAAGAGAACACTTAGAGAACTCCCCCAATCTTTCGGAGAAGGAGCCTCTCATGTGGCTCAAACAGACGACTCAAGTTTCCACAGCAGGAAAATAAACCACACAACAATCATTGCTTGTTCGTTTTGCAATGGAGCTGTACAATATTAAACGTACTGGAGACATTGAAGTTACGGAGCACATGTTCAAAGTGTACCATGCCCATTGCATCAGTTCCCATAGGACAAAAATCTGGAGAAAATGTCATGCCGAAGCCACCTTGAAAAATTAAAATTCAAAATCCTCTTAAGTCTACAATACCATTCCCAAATGTTGTTATTTGTCCTGTTGGCAGTCCACTGACACCTTTTGCCGTCAACCTATCGAATCGAAACGGGGCGTCCGGGGGAAGAACAGATACGGAGGGGCACCTGTCTCTTGGGGTGAAGGGGGAACGTCGTTTCAAGCGAACAAATTTTGGTTGCGTGTGGCGGTTTCTGCCAGAACTGTGCAATTCTCATTGTGACCCTCCCTCCGAGCGGTAAGCCACCCCCCCTTCCCCAGATTACGTCTGCGAAGACGTAGGCACAATGTTTTTCACTATCATCTGCATAAACTTTTACACCTGATTAAAAATTTTGTTTTAACGTTAGGAACAAGGATGCAGGCCCTACAAAGGCCTGCTAATTTAGCTAGGCAAGGGAGGAAAGGTTCTCCTCTGAGCACACATACAAACCTTGATGGAGATGGGAGCACATTCCACAGTAAGAATCTGAAGTTTCATCCACAAAAGACAAGAAACTCGAAGGGACCATGGAATGGTTTGCATCATCAGATTCCTGCTTGGGACCTGAAGGCCAGTTGCCACAGCTAAGGTTTTATGGCTGATCTGATGAGCATTTATATTTTAACCATCACAACCTCAGCGTTTACAGAAAAAGATGAACAATGCTCACTCTTCCTATACTGCGGAAGCGAAGTCTAGATTTGGGTTCGTTAAAGAAGTGTGTGTGTGTGTGTGTGTGTGTGTGTGTGTGTGTGTGTGTGTTGTGTCCTTTAAAGCTCAAATGTTCCAAAATTAACCAGGGTACATGAACAGGCCTGCATAGTTAATTCTATGGCTTTCATGGGAGTGGGAAGGAAAGAGGGCTTTAAAAAAAAAGTAGTGATAGAAATATAGGGGGGAAAGAGCGATTGTCACAGCTCTTTCAAGCTCAGGAAAACGTTGCTGAATTTAATTGCTGCCATTAAACTCTGGGGTTTTGAGCTGACACCTTGCACAGCCCTTTCTCAACCACGCCGAGGCCATATGCAACAGGTGCCGATATGCAGTGACTGAACGCTCAATTCCATGTTGAAATTGTTTTGGTTAAACGCTTTAAGCGGTGGATAAGGCAAGGGGACCAAGGATGCAGCTCAGGTATTTGTGGCAGTAAATGAAAACGGTATTTAAAAATTAAGCAGAGTGGGCTCTTCCTCCCCTTCCCCTCCCCACCCCACCCCACCCCCCCAAAAAGAGATCAGATCATATTATCATCAGCTCAGTTAGAGGAGCGACAAAAAACAGGAGTTACAGACAGGGAAAGAAATCAGGTTGGTTCTGGGCAGCAGATAGATTAAGACTAATGTAAGGAGAGAATACAAGGAAAATGGAGAGTTGGGTTTTCTTTTTGGTGAAGATACAAGTTTGAACTGTAGGTATTGCAACCTGAACCTTAACTGCCCTAAGGATAATGGTATATCCTTGTCCTAATTCTAGAGGGAAACTGAACAATGTAACTCATCATCCACCAACAGAACATCAAGAGATCAAAAGGCTGGAAGCTACAATGGCCATGTGCCATTTGTGGGTTACAACTGGGCTTGCTAGAAGGAGCAAGGAAAGACCCTAGGAAAAAGAGAGAGAAAAATCTGCTTGCTCCAGACATTAGTGCATTGGAATCTCCCTTCCTCTGTTTCTCACATTTATTTATGCAGCATGAACAAACACAAACAAATAGTTTTTTTTTAAAAAAAAGGGGGGGAGGACAACAGATGCAAGCTTAAACCACAGTGAATTTTCTGACCACTAAAATCTGTACTTAAGACAATTGGAACTTCAAAAGAAATATGCACTGTAATAACCAAACGAATGTAATTTGACTGTAGTTAGAGAACTATCTGAATAACTGGTATTTTGCTGGTTTTGAAAAGCTTTTGTTACCCTTGTGAGTTACCTGATGTTGCTCAAGGGAAAACTGACATAGGTAGTATTCTAAGTTAATGCCCATCAATGATTCTGGAACAAGGGCCCAGACACAGAGAAATGACACAGATGTGTGCCATGGGCCTCATTCTAGCTTTACATTGTTGTGGTGACCTCAAAGAACAAAGCACTGTATTCCTGGGATGGACTCCGGCCACTCTGGAAAACTTTTACAGCGGAACATTGACATGTTCTTTGAGCTAGCCTAAGGCAGCATGAAAACCCAAGATCCCTCTGTGGTAAGGACACAAGGATTAAGAGCTGCGCATATTTAGAACTTCTCCAGAAAAGCAAGTCAAAGCTTCTCCTTTCAACAGGCATCTTAAAACAAAACTTTAGAAAGTGAGAGACAGTTGCGTACCCAACAGGCCATCTACTGCACACAGGTCTCCCACACACACTTCTTGCCACTCCACCGTTTTCCATTGCCTGCTCCCAATATCATGCTGGCTAGGACTGCTGGAAGTTTGAGAGTCCAAGTAAGTACTAAGGGCTACCTATTGCTATCCTATAAACACTACACAACAGGTGCCTGCATACTGGGACATGTTTTGCTGTCCCTCACCTCAAACCAACTGGAATGTTCCTACATCTGTAGTACCTTCGCCACGTCATAATGATGAGCCGTACCAGGATCAGTTGATCAGCAGCACCAACTGAGCAATCAGAAAGACATGTGGAATTGTTTTCTAGACCGCTGTCGGTTAGGCTAGGCACAAGGCTACTTAATAACAACGTTGAAATAAATTTACACTGCTAAAACGATGAAACGCATCGCGATTCTCTTGTTATCCGCGACTGGGGGGGAAAGGAGCCCAGCGTGGCGTTTTTCAATGGCTCTCAACTCAGGAGAAAAATCCCTGGATATTCTGTTGTTCAGAAGCTTTTGCAAGATACGCCATTTGCTATGGAAAAGATGTTCAGGAAGATGATTCCCTTTATGAGAGAATAGAGGCACAGCCTGTAGGCCTGGCGAAGCAAAACTCTGTTTATAATGTATGAATGGTTCCCTTCCCACCCACCCACCGCTCCCTTCTCAAATATACGAAGCAGCTTATTATATATTTCTTTCATGGGGAAATAGACCAGGTAACATGCCTGAGAGCTCACCGATACCAGTCGCCCAATAAGGGACTGGCTTTCACCTTGACAAATAGGGAAAGCAAAATTGAGGGTGAAAAAAGATCTAAGAAGTGGCGGTATAACTAAAGGGAGAATAACACACGATGCAAAATCTTTTTTTTTTCCCTAGAATTTGAGGCGTAAAACCCGAAAGGACCAAGTTAAAATGTTTACTGAAGCTTGGCATTCCGTGAAACTTCCTCTAAAAGATCACATACAAGGGGACTTTTGCCTGGAGAAGAAACGTCTGTGTTAGCCTATCAATACGTACATCATGCGTGTGGCTTTAAAAGACAGGGACCGCTAAAGAGAAACACCATGAGTTGAAATCTATGGGAACTGAGAATCATTCACAGCGCGACCAGCCTCTCTTCGTCCTTAATGCTGCTCTTCCTGGAGACCGGTTGCGTCTTCAAGTTTTAACAAAAAAAAAAAAAAAAGCCTGTGTGATTGCTGCAAGCTACGTTTAAACGATGGGATAAAACTATACATTTAGTGTTTATTTAAAAAGAAGTCATCCCCTATAAGCGGCATGAGGACTGGACAGAGCAGAAACTCAACAGGGCTAATGGAAGGAGTTGGTTTTGTGTGTTCGTGTGCATGTTTGTGCATCATTGAAAAAATAAAACCAGTCCACTGTCCAGCAGAGGCTGCTAACACTCTATCTCTTCGGCCCCCCCTGAGCTCACTCTGCATGGACTTCTGTCTCTGGCCTCTGAAGGCAAAGCTCAGATGGCAGAAATGCTCCTTGGCCCAAAGCTGTGGCGTAAGTCCTACTATTGTGTGGATGAGGAAAAGAAGGTGCAACTCCCCCTCCTCCAGAGTATCCCCCTCTTTGGTGCTGAGGCATGGTATGGTAATCATCCAAATTATCATACTGGGATACCACAGTCATTGTACTTTGGCGTTTGCCAAGGGTTTGGTATGGGTACAGGAGACCAGCATCCCGCTGTGTAATCTCGGAGTGCTGGAACCGGAGGCTATGGCTCCGCTCTGGCTTAGGCGGTGGGCCCGGAGGCTGCCCATAGTGCTCGCTTTCTTTATGGCAGTCTCTGGAGTGCTTTTCAGCTGGAGCAGCTGGGTGTCTCGATCGAGCCCGTTCTCCGTCCTCAGCCAGCTTCGCCTCTTTGTGGTTTAGTCTCACCACGTCATGGTTGGCCGGGATGTATTTCCCACCTGAGTGCTGATACATCAGGGATTCTGTGTGTTCCGACGGGTGGCCCTTTGGTCGGTAATCGGGGTAGGGAGGGGCGTTTTTAGCATCCGGCGGCTGCTGGTGGGCCACTTCGTGTGCAAGGTGCATTCTGTACTCAGTGAAATTGCAACCGACCTCAGGCGGTTTCCTGCTCCTGAGACTGCTTTGCTTCTGAGGGAGCAGAGGTTTCTCTGACTGTCCAGTCCCATAACCCCCACGGTAATGGGCTCTGTCGATGTCCGGTTCCAGCTGGGGCCCATAGTAGTGTTCCTCTCCCTCGGGGGCCCCTCCTTTGCTTAGATATCTCCCTTCTTTCCCGTCAGCAACAGTGAGGAGTCCAGTTTTCCCAGGATCAGATTTGCTACGCAAGTGAACAATGTCCGTGGCCCGTACCTCCTCTTGCAACAAAGGGGCTACATTGTCGTACTGGGACATGACCGGCCCCTTGACTTTCTGGCGGGCACGGCTCTCTCGGCGGATGGACTGCATGCAGTATTTCTCCATATCTTCCAAGTCCCAGGAGGCATACATGGGTTTGACGTCAGGGGCAGGAGGCACATCCCTGCTAATGAAACTGTGCTCTTTGCCTGCTAGGTGCCCAGGAAGGCCTCCTCGAGAGTAAGGTGGTAAACCAGGACAGCGATAGAGGTTCTTAGTCGGTAACTTGGAGTAGGAGGGAAACTCTTTGCCTGGGGGAGGATGGAACTGCCTCAACCTCATTGTACCATAAGGGTCCAAGTCGTAAAAACCGCCCTCGCCTGTGGTGTAGCAAGAAAGGCTGGAGGAACTGGAGTAAGGGCTGTATCGGTAATGAACCCGGCCATTCTCAAAATAAGGTTGCAACTGAGTGACATGATAATCTCCATGGGGCTGATATGGCTTGTATTGGAGGAGGGGTCTAGGGCAGTAAAGAGGATCGTCATCAGGAGGCACCTCAGTGCGGGAGATGGGAACCGATCGGATGGCGGATGGGGTGGACACGTGCAGAGAATGCACCCTCCGGATGGTGGGGTAGGGTGGGGCTTCCTCCGCACAGCTGCTACTCCTCATCGTTGGGCTTAGGGAAGACAGATAGTCGATCCGACTGCGAGGCTTGGCGTAATGAATGTACGAGCTCTTTCCTTGACTGGCGTACGCATTATATCGGGACCCCAAGGAAGGGGGAGTCTCCGACAGAGAAGGGTAGCCCGGATGCTGCTCAGACTTGCTGTGAAAAAGCTGGGGTTGGCTATTTTCAGCCCTGTATTGGTGAGCCGATGAGGGTTTGGGATGCACTGGAGGCTCCGGCATGCTTTCTGACTTGGAGGGAAGGAAATAAGCTGATGGAAGGGATGCTTGCTTAGACAGGGCAGGGGTTGCCAACGCATCCTCTGCTGATAGTGGCAATGAGGAAGATGCCATAAAAGCATGGAAATTGGCAGGGTTTATCGTATCGGTGCTGTTGGAATGCATGGCGGCTGCAAGTTTGCTCTCCATTGTCCTCACTGGCGGTACTGGAGGCATGAAAGCGTATGATGATTGAGCTGGGACAGATTCGGACCTCATCTGTAAAGGTGGCGCCCTGGCATTTTCTCGGGGTTTCTCCAAATGTCCCTGATGAAACAGAGCCACTGGGGTGGCTGAAGTGCACTGAATTGTAGCGCTGGCCTCAGCACCCAAGACGGGAGCCGGCTCAGCTGTTCTAGGCTCCAGCAATTTGTCTGGAGTTGTCTCTCCTTGTACCTGATAGAAGAAAACACAAAGATTAGTTATAAATCCCAAAATGGTTGCTGAGATGAATACAGACTCCCCTTGCAAACCAAACTAGTTTTTAAAACTAGCAACTCAACAGAGCTTTTCCAGGGAAAAAGGTACAACTTTTGATAGCGGGGAATTTATTGGCAGCCAAGACATCAACCATTCACATCACTTCAACGGGAAATGTAATGGGATGTAGAGAAGTCATTTCTGAGAATTAATACTTCAAATTTGGGGTGACCTTATAGAAATGTGGGCTTTTTCAAGTCTTCAGCTACTACTTATTGCCCATATGTAACACTTTCCATGCCTATAGGCGGGAGAATGTGAAAATCTGAATCTTTAGCAATGTTCAAATATCCTTCATTAATTATACAGTATGCATTAGTTTACTACTATCATTAAAGAAAATGGGACCAAATAGTCAACAGGATGGTCCCTGCTGAAAACAACAATAGTTGCTTATGAACCATCTTACTGTAGCTAGCCAATGTGTGTCAGAATAGCACCACCTACTGATAACAATTAATTTAGTGCTTCAGGTTGTTATGGCAACCCTAAACTTCATCCAATGGAAACCGAAATGTTCCATCCTTGCTAACTATTATTTTCTCAGGAGAAATTGGAAACCAAAGTCTCAAATGTTCCATTTTCTCCTGGGATCCATTAAAAGACCCTGGGAAAAAGCCCGAGCACCTATGCTCGCCTTAAGGAACGTGAGCAGAAGGAAAAACGGTTAATTGAAATAGAAAAGGGAAGCCAAGTAAAAATCAAGTAAAACTGAGGTGCAGGGGGATAGGAGCAGAGTAGAGGTCATGTTATTTTGGACAGAAATTTTCCCTGAATTATAATGTACAAAAAGAGAACAGAGTATGGAGCCTACTAAAGTTTTACCTGACTGAAGCCTCCTGAAGGTTTCTTGGGAGGAGTCTGTCCCACGGCTGGCTGGTCCCCTGGTCTCACGGGTAGAACTTGGTGGCCTCCTGCAGGAAGAGCTGCCTCCCCCCACGTAATGTTGCCGGTGACTGTGGAAGGCGGAGGTGGGACATTCTGTCTGGACATGCCAGGATTAGGTTTGGCAGCCGCTGGGTGGTTCTTCATTACGCAGGCCAGATCTGCGGGGACGTTTTTCTCCCCAGGAGTGACTGAAGGAAAAGGTAGTCTGTCCTCCACTTTACAGAGGGGAAGATGAATCTTGGTGGCCTGGGTTGGGTTCTTATCCAAAGGGACACCAGCGTGGAGTGGAGGACTTTCTAGTGGTATCTCCGCTGTAGATGACTCGGCCTGGACAGTTCGTCCAGGACAAGCATGAGGATGACTCTGTTCTTCAGAGGTAAAAGACTGAGTAAGAAGATGCGTGTCCCCCACTGTACATGGATAGAAGTGAGAGTGATCCCAACCCATGTTAGTACCTCCATGAAGGTCTCCTGCCATGTTATTTGAGAAAGAGGAGAGGTCCCGATGTTCAGACATGCCAACGTGGAGGTGGTTGTCGCCTTCAGATGTGCCACTGCTTTGGGGGCCCTGAACTAAGGGCAACCCGCTTCTCGGAAGATCCCCCATCATCTGAAAAGTGAGCGGGTTCTCTGGAAGAGCAGCATAGAACTGGAGCTTTTCCGAAGAAGAGCTGGGATATGGGTGGAATTTTTCTAGAGTTCCTGCACTCTCACAGTTGTTACAGTCTGAATAAATATCTGGCTTCTTCTGGGACTGAACTGAAGCTTGTTGGGCAGATTCGGCCAGGGCTAGAGCCAGGATGCGGGCGGCATTTTTCGGAGGTGGAGGAGGGACAACAGAAACAGAATTGACTGGAACAGAATCCTGGGGGGTGACAAGGGCAACAGCTCCTAGTGAGAAGAAGAGTGGAAACAAAACAAAACAAAAACAAAAGAGATTGGTTTACTTTACCCCGTTAAGGAGAGTGAACAATTTCCTATAGATCATTATAAAAAATAAAAAAAAATAAGTTTTTTTTTTAAAAAAAATAGTCCAACATTTCACAGTGGCAACTCCTTGGCGTCACCAAAGGGCGTCTTCTCTCATGCATGCAAAACGGGGATAGCAGATCGGTGTGAAAAAGCCGACGCGAGATTGTGTAAAAGTTCCTGTTGCGGTCCTAAAGACTAAGCGGTAGGCAGAAAGAAAGACAACACCAGGTCGTTTGATGGGATCTTTCACACAACTTAATCACGGGGTTACTTTTGGCCAGGAAAAAAGGTCCCTTCTTCGAGTGCAGCCCAATTTATTTATTTATATAGTTAGTTTAAAAAAAATATATCAGGAAGCATTCTGATCGGATGAGATCATCTCGTGTTATGAAAAAAAGTGAGACGGGGCTATATAAAATATTCACAGGGTTGTGGTGTGTGTGTGTGTGTGTGTGCGTGCGTGTGTGTGTGTGTGACACAAGGAAGCTGCAGAGAAGCTTAGGTTCTTTTAATGTTCGCTATCGGGACCGAAGCAGCCTCTATAGGCTCTGGAAGACACATACTTTGTTATTATTATTATTACTACTACTATTATCATTATTACCAGTGTTTCCCCCTCTTTTTAAAGGCGTGCAGAGAAGCGAGAGCTTGGCGGCTTGCGAACTTAAAGAAAAAATGGAGGAAAACACACTGTACCTGGCTGTGTCAGTCCAGAAGGTACAGGCTTACTCTGGCCGCTGCTGAGCGCAACCTCTTCTTGAAGCTCTACTTTCTTGGTATCTCCGGCGTTCTGGAGTTCTTGCTGGTGTTCTTCATCATGCCTACTTTCAATGCTCCTCAGAGGGGACATGCCGGACGTTTCGTTGTTGTCGACGTTTTTTTTAGCCCAATCCAAAGGGCCGACACTTTCTGACACGCCTCCAATAACCACGTCTGGCATGCGGCTGGGGACAGCATAAGGAACGGGCTCTGATGCAGCGAGTGGCGGAGATCTGACTGGCTTTTGACCTGACTTGGGGGAATAGGCACAGGTGAGCTTCTCGGAGAAAGACAGGAGTTTTGATGGTCTCTCTTCAGATGGGCTCAAATCCAGGGTGAAGAAGGGACTTGGGTTTTTTTCTTGGTAGGGAGAAACTGGTTCCGAGCTGGTGGCACTGCAGGGCGTATGAGATTGGCTGCCCGAGTCTAGCTCTTTCTTAAAGAGGCTTGGCTTATCCTTGTTATAGTCCACAGATTCCAACAGGGAAGTGCTGCTGTCAAGACACTCCGATTCTGCTTTGGGTGGGCTGCATTGAAAGGACATCGGGTCGAAATCCAAGCTAGCCACCCCAATCTCTGGCGGGCTCAGGTCGACGTCCTCTGCCGACCTGGGAGAAATGAGGGCAGGAACCTGTAGATGCCCCTCGTCGCCGTCGCTTTCTTGGTCGTGGGGCAGATTGTCGTAAGAATTGCAGCGATTCATGTTCCCCAACAGTTCCCCATTGAAAGAAGCTGATAAAGCATCGCTGCTCGATCTTGGTCTTCGGGGTCGAAACAGTTTAGACTCACCTGGCCAAAAGAAAAAAGAAAAAGAAGAAAGACATCCATTAGTACTTCGCTCAGTTATGTAAATGCTCCCCTTGTGTGAAAGGGTCGGTTGCTCTTTGGTTTTCTGTAAAAAATACAGGGATATATTTTCTTTGTAGTTTGGAGGTGGTGGTTTGTTTGTTTGATTTTTGAGTTGACTTTATTGATTAGCCCTTGGGCCATATCAAATTGCAGAGTTCCAGATACAAATTATTAATAAAATCTGATAAAAATAATATAATATGGAATTGGAATAAAATACGGTTTAAAATGAAATTGGAATAAAATACAGTTTAAAATGAAATTGGAATAAAATACAATAACTTAACCCAGAGATAAAATATGATACAGTTATATTTTGGTGTCACCCCCTTACAATTTATCCCAATCAGTCCCACATATGCCATAATCTCAACCGAACCATTTTGTGCTGTGTTAAATGTTATGCTCAGGTTCTGGACGGACATAAGGTTAAGTTGTCTTGATATGGGGACTCTGCAGTTAGAATACAGGATGTTCTTTTACGTCTGGTCCCAGAAGTTCATGCACCTTCCCGCATCCATATTAATGCCTTCACAGCTTTGTTTTTCCTGCTAGGACTGGGAAATGAGAAAGAACCTCTCAAGGTTTCTGTGCATATTATTTAATGGAAAGATTCCTTTCCCCCCACAAAAAAAATTGCACCAAAAAGGGTAGTGATAAAAAGTGACTTATTAAGGAGTAAAAAGCACAAGTTTCTTCACCGAATGCAGATACAGACAAGCTTCCTGACACTTTTGCCTCCTAATTCTTTGTAGATGTGATGTTTACAGAAGTGTGCATTTGCTGTCTCTAGAAGAAGCTCTCTTGAATAACCAAATAATGAAGGATTGTAAGTTGAATAAGCAAAATAATGGAAGATTTCAATTTAACATAAATGTTTGTATTACTATTAGAATTATATAAGCTTGCTAAATGCAATAAATATGATTAATAATATTGTATTTGTATTAAAATTAATTAACTTAGACTAGGGTGATTGGCATAAAAATGACACATTGAAATACTGAATAACTAAATAATGAAAAATTATAATTTAATAAAACTATGTGTATTGCTAGAACTATATAAGCTTGTTAAATGAAACAAATATGATTAATACTATTATATTTGCATTAAAATGGATGACACCCAGGTGCTACGTTGTTCACACATTGATACGTTTGTATAAAAAATAAAAACTTGAGAATCTCTAGAAGAAGCTCTTAGGAAAATGCAAATAAAAGCCAACTTGCCATCTATTGCATGCAAAGATGAGAGAGATTCTTCGCTCTTGGCGGAGCGCAAGGTTCCACTGTCTCCTCTTCCACCTGATCAGAAACAAAACAATGGACTATATTTAAAATCTGACCATACATCCCCAGAGATGAAAACTGATTTGTCCAATCCAGTGCTTCTCAACCATGGTAACTTGAAGATGAATGGATTTTCAACCCCCAGAATTCCCCAGCCAGCTATGCGATATCATGCTGACTGGAGAATTTGGGGAGTTGAAGTCCACTCATCTTCAAAGGTACTTTTTCAGGAGGCAATTGGGCTTTTTCGTTTTTTCTTTCCATTCCCCACCATCCAGTCAGAGCTGAAGAAAGTTCTTGGACGAGAAGTGAAACATCTTCAAAGAAAAACCAGAAAGTCCAGTTGCCTCCTGAAAAAGCACCTTTGGGACAACCATGACCTGGATGGCTGAGAATCGCTACAGACGGTCACTCATCTTCAAGTTGCCAAGGTTGAGAAACACTGGACTAAAAGAACATGTCAGATTCTTTACAGAGTTGAAGTTTTAGTCTTGAAAACAATCACTGTAAGAATCAAATGAAGCTGAGACTGGTCAAATATTATGCAAGAGCGTAGTGGACTGACCAAGAATATATAACAAGGTATGTTTTCAGGCTGCAATGAGGGGAATTCAGTTCCACAGGAGTGCCCCTGAGCCAGCAAAGGCTGTTTTAGCAATGCATGCTAAGAAATTAGAGCAATGCCCCTGTGTATAAATGCCCCTGTGGAACTGGAAGAATTCAGGCTTTTCTGAATTACATTCAGAACAGAGCATGCTATGATTTATTTTGAAATAATTAAAAAAAAAAAAACCAGCCCATGAGGAGTAAGCCAGAAGCATCCGAGCTCATCTCTGCAACACTGTCTCTTCCTTAAACACCTTGCTGTCCTGGATACAGGGTGCCCTTACCTGCCAGAGCTATTGCCTTCATTTCGGATGGTTCGCTTGGGTTGCGCTGCAGTTTCCGTTTGGAAAGCGAGGATGATTTTCCCAGGTTGAAGAAAGAACGCCAGCTGCCCACGGGGGATTTTTTCATCTTACTGGGTGGCCTCTTTCTACAGCAAGAGAAGATTTGGCATTGAGAAGAAAAAAAGGATTGAATGCACCGGGTGGCTCCGAAAGCAGCCTTAGCAATTCACACTATTCAGAAGCTATAAGCCCGCGTCCTTTTATATAGGACAGCGGCATTTAGAGACATGCACTGAGAGAAAAAAGAAGAATATTTCAATTTCAAAACTGTTCCAGTGCAACCATGGAAAACCTAAGTGTGGGACAATGCAATTAGACCAGAGGTCTCCAAACTTGGCAACTTTAAGACTTGTGGGGCTATGCTGGCTGAGGAATTCTGGGAGTTGCAAATCCGCAAGTCTTAAAGTTGCCAAGTTTGGAGGTTCCTGAATTAGACAGACAGACAGACAGACAGACAGACAGACCCTCCCTTCTACCTTTCAGATGGGAAGTCTATGATGGTATGGAACTTCCCCTGCAAAGCAGCAGGTCCTTCGCCTACTTCGATGTACTTGCTGTCAGTCAGGGCTGGAGAATTTATTTGAGCCTGAGTCCTGGCCTGGGCCTCCTCTAAGGTAAGCAGCTTTGTGGACGGGGAGGACACCAGCAAAGATTTAGGTCGTGACAAGGAACTGTGACCTGCCACAGAAACACAAGGCAAAGCAGAAGGAGAACGATGTGAGTGACGAGAACCCGTGAAGGAAGAGATTCCTGAAGCAGAGATATCACAGCCCAACCAGAGGTGGCATATTCAGCAGGTTCTGATCCATTCTGGAGAACCAGTAACAGACATTTTGAGTAGTTCAGAGAACTGGCAAATGCCGCCTCTGACTGGAGATTTTACAGTATCCTTCCCCTGCCACACCCACCAAGCGACACCCACAGAACCGGTAGTAAAAAAAATTGAATCCCACCACTGGGCCCAACATTTCCTTTATTGCAGGACTTAATGCAGAGAATCTTCAAAACACATTATGCTTTTACCAAGCAAAGTCTGCCAAGGAAAGAATAAAGTTTGGGTTTAACATGATAGACATTCCATCAGATTATTTTTCCTTCCTTTCGCTACATAACAGGACTCAATTTTGCTTCATGGTTTTCTTTTTCACTTTCTATAATTTCACCTCTATAAATACTTGAAAAGGCATCCCTTTTCCCGCATAATGTCCTTCTTGTACAAGCTCTTTCATTAATATAAAATGTTTTGCAAAATGCCATTTCTCCTCGCCGAAGGAGTTGTTAAATTTTACTCCCAATTTCAATTCAAGAAAATATTGCTTTAAGATTGCATTTGGCTTTAAATGCTTAAACATTACCGACTACCTTCTAGAAGAGATACTGCTAAACCCTGTGAGTTCAAAAGCCATTTCTTTAAAAAAAAAAAAACACTCGCAGGAGAAATTCCACCATATTTAGCACTTTTTTACATTTTGAAGACAGTAATTAACAAGTCAAGAGCATCAAACAAGCAGACGCTACTTCGTAATGGCAACTGTGCTGAAAAGGTTGGGAATATACATCAGGCCAATCCACAACACATCTGTTGAGTTTTGCCTTAGTATGTTGTGTGAATTCAACCACTGCGACTTTTAAGCCAGTGTTAACAACTTAATGTGTTGTGGAAACCCACTCAAGTGTTTTTTTAAAAAAGTAATGGCTTTTTTTAAAAAAGGAGCAATATGTAAATTCTCTATTTATCTGCTCTACGGGGAAGGCAGGCGTGGTTTAACATCAACTGAGTTCATGTCCCCCCGATGTTCTAATTGGTTTGTTGAATTTCCTAGAAATGTAACTTTTCCAGAACGGTGACAGTCAGGGAAATGTTTGCTGAACTCTGAGACTTACTGCTGTCACTCAAAACAATGGATAATTTCACCCCATTCTTTCCCCCAACTTGAGGGGGGAAAAAACACATTTTATGATTTTACTATGGAGATTCTCAGTCATCCAGGTCATGGTTGTCCGAAAGATGCTTTTTCTGGTTTGTCTTTGAAGATGTTTCGCTTCTCATCCAAGAAGCCTCTTCAGTTTCATCAGCACAGACCTGAAGAAGCTTCTTGGATGAGAAGCGAAACATCTTCAAAGACAAACCAGAAAGTCCCGTTTGCCTCTTGAACAAAAAAAAAAAAAAACCCTTTGGGATATTTAACGATCATGATGGTGGAACGAAGGCTTGGTACAAAGCCTTGAATAGCAAAATGCTTTTAGAGTGGATGCTCCACAGCTGGGAGAGCTCTGCATGGTACCCAACTGGTAACAGAGGGACCATTTTTCATGATGGACATCTGTTGCAGGACACCCGCTAAGCTTCGTTAGCTTCCTATGAATGTGAGGTGGTTGTTTATTAAGCTGCATTTCTCTGTTTGGTCAGGCAAGCAGAAAAACGAAAACTTCTGACGCTGCTCTGCCTTCGCTTTTCCATGTTTGTTTTAGTTTATTTCTGACATACGTACCTGCACTCTCTCGAATGACAGAGCTGAGTTTAGAGCTGAAAAGGACATCCACGTGATTGAGAATGAATTCCACAACCACGGATTGGATTCGCACTTCCATAAAAGCTGCTGTTCCACTGAAGCAAGCAGATTCTATCTGCTTTGATCTAGGGGAAAAGAACGTGAATGTTAGCCAGCGCTCCAGCCAGCACTAACAGTTCCTGGTGTACACAGACGAGTCAACTGAATGCCTTCCCTTTTTCACAGGAATAAATATTTGCACAGTGGTCGCAGTGTGAAGTCTACACACACACACAGTGCTGCAGAGACAGAGACAGATTAACAGAGTTGGAAGGGACCTGGTAGGTCATCTATTCCAACTGCCACCCAAGCAGGAGACCCTACACCATTTCTGGCAGATGGCAGTCCAATCTCTTCTTGAAAGCTTCCAGGGATGAAGTTCCCTCAACTTCTGAAGGCAACTTCTGCTCCATTGGTTGATTGTTCTCCCTGTCAGAAAGTTTCTCCTTATTTCCAGGCTGAATCTCTCCTTGATCAGTTTCCATGCATTATTCCTTGTCTGGCCTTCAGATGCTTTAGAAAATAGGTTGGCCCTCTCCTCTCTGTGGCCCCTCAAACAGGAAGACTGCTATCCTGTCTCCTCTGGTCCTTCTCTTCACTAGACTAGCCAAGTCCAGTTCCTGCAACCGTTCATTGTATGTTTTAGCCTCCAGTCCCCTAATCATCTTGATTGTTCTTCTCTGCACTCTTTCTGGACTCTCGACATCTTTTTAATAGTGTGGTGACCCAAACTGGATGCAATATGGTTGACATAAGTTGACAGCTTGTGTATTCTCTCTTCCATAATATAATGCAGAGCAGTTACCGCATATGAACTTTTTATCTGACTAGGAAGAATCCTTCACCTCTTTCTTGCAAAAGAGGGGTGCATAATTTCTCTGTGAGACTTTATTATCTGTGGCAGTTTTCCCTAACAGGGAATAAAGCTTAGTCTATCACTGAGCTAATTCCTGGCAAAGCCACAGGTGTAACATCTGAGACAAGACAAGCTTCTTACTAGTAAAAACAAGTAAAGCTTATTTTTTTGGTTCTCACCTAACCTATCCTGCTGTTTCTTCACAAATCAATCATTTACCTAGTTGGTGCCAATTTCCCCAATGAATGTTTTCCATTTTTTCCTTAAAAAAAAATTCTGACAAAAAGTAAAATATTATAAGCCGCTTCTCACACTACAGAAAAACACTTTAGTTTTCAAAAGGCTTTTTAAACATAAAAGGTGCTGGTAGAACTTTTCTAACAAATGTTATTAAAAGGTGTAAGCTGTCATGAGCTCAGTTCAACAAATGTGGTTTAATCTCCGTATACAATAAGATCCAATATAACTCTGAACAAATAGAGCTATCTGGTGGCTTCTACCCTTTGCAATTGTGGTGACATGCAGACAACAACACAAATGTATACCTGCCCCTTGTGTGCTGATCAGCATATACGTGAGAACCTCATGGAATGCAATTAACGTTGCTAGTTTCTGGGCAAGATCTGTTTAACTTGTACAGATTTTAATCTTGTATTTGATCATTTAAATTCTATGTTATGACACAAACAAACAAACAAACAAACAAATCTCCATATTGTTGGTTACCATAGACTAACATGGCTTTCTTCCTACAATGTCTGCAATCGATAGATACCTTAGTAAGTTTGGTGCCCAGACAATGGCTAAGTTCTTGGTATGCATGTTTGTGATGGCACAATATTCAGCCAGGTATGACAAATGCCTCATAAGGAACTCCAGAGTCCTGGAAAAAAGACAAGAATTTCAGATAAATTAGCCTATTTTTTAAAAAAAAACCAAGCTAAAGGAGATATTTTGCTTTTTGAAAAATGGCCAACTCTTTGCTTCCTTGTTGCATTGCAAAACCAAAGGAAGACAACTATATGGCACGTGCATCAACATAGTGCTACATGTCTCCAGCAGTCAAGCCAGCAGTCAGGGTTTATATAGGCACTCCATTACTGTGTGAGATATTCCATTACTGGTGACTTATTTACTAAATGGCAATTGCCATCTTTGATGACCATTAGAGGGAGCCTCAACCACATTATCTAGCTAAAGAACTGTACATTTTCCCTGTGCAGCGAAGAAAGAGAGAGAATGTCAAGTTTAGATGTTGAAAGCGGCATCAAGAGATGGCATAACCGACCAATAAAAATATGTTAAACCTTTGTTAGTAGATATTGTGTACAGAAGGAACACATGGATCCTTTCAGATATGGAAATTCTAAAAATGAATGGTATTTTGAGTATCTAAGACTTCAGTATCTAAGACTGATTTATGTTGATTGCATATTTAGTATCTTATGACTATCACTAAGTGTGGTATCTTATGATTTATGATAAATGTATTTCTATGGTGACTATGATATATCACTTATAGCTTTTATGTACTGTGACAGCTTATGCACCAAAATAAATTCCTTGTGTATCCAATGATACTTGGCCAATAAAGAGATTCTATTCTATTCTATTCTATTCTATTCTATTCTATTCTATTCTATTCTATTCTATTCTATTCTTATTCTTATTCTTATTCTTATTCTACATCTACTTTACTCTACAGATATTTCAGAACAAAGAACAATTAATTTTCCCTGGGTTCTGCTCTCTGATTTATGTGAAGTAGTGACCAGGGTGCTGGATATGAGTGAGGCAGTTCCAGTCCTCCTTTTGGCACAGAAGCAAGCTGGCTGATCCTTGGGCCGATCATTCCCTCTCAGCTCTGAGCAGCTTGGGGCTTTGCACAAGCCAGGTGAAACACCAAATCTTTTGCTATATGTGCTAGGTGAGTTTGGTGCCAAATACAGGTAGAACAAATCAGAAGAAGAAAAATGAATAATAAATAAATATAATGGGACTCTCGTGTCTGCTGACGAACAAGGGGATGCTTTCCTGAATGTAGAGACGTAAAACACATGCATTTATTGCACTATAACTGGATAATCCAATTTTAGTATAAAACAAGATGGAAACCCAGCCTCTCAGCCCCCCACAACCGATGACTCAAATGTTCAAATAGCAATAGCACTTAGATTTAGATACCGTTCCACAGTGCTTTACAGCCTTCTCTAAGAGGTTTACAGTCAGCATCTTGCCCCCAACAATCTGGGTCCTCATTTTACCCACCTCAGAAGAATGGAAGGCTGAGTCAACCTTGAGTCCGTGAGAACTGAACTACCAAGCTGCTGGCAGCCAGCAGTCAGCAGAAGTAGCCTGCAGTATTGCATTCTAACCACTGCACCACCATGGCTCAAATAGGCCTGAGCCTAAGCCATTTGGCTCATGCTTAAGAAATAATGTAGACTGCTACTTCCTCTAAACTTGGGGTGTCCAACTTTGGCAACTTTAAGACCTGTGGACTTCAACTCCCAGAATTCTGGCTAGGAAATTCTGGGAATTGAAGTCCACAGGTCTTAAAGTTGCCGCAGTTGGAGACCCTTGCTCTAAACAGCGATGGATATGGGGATGTGGCAAGGAAAAGAACAACTGCCAGACCTCCTAATTCTACATGGCTGTAAGGAGCAAAGGAGCTAGTATAGGAATAGATACAGCAACCCTCAATGTTCTACGTGGCCTGTGCTAAAAATTAGCGAGAAATCTTAGACTTTAGTAAGATATATTTCTTTCCATCCCGAAATGGGTTTCATGTTCAGTTTCTATGGCATGCTGAGTTAGACATCTGATCAAAGGATTAACTTCTCAAGTTTCCCATAACCACACTATGCCCTTTCTCCAAAGCTGGATGCCCACACAGGGTACGCAGCAAACAGCAACATTCTCCAAGCCGGCTACAAGAGGATCTCTAAATGTTTTCCAGATCTTGTCTGACTCACTTCTGCCAGCATGCGCATCTAATCCTTAATGTGGATTGTATCAAGATGAGCTGTCCTACTTCCCAACTGACTCTGTGGCACGTCTTCTTTCTCTTGCTACGATGAACAGAGTTAGAAGCTCGCATTTTTCAATTCTGTTAAATTTTTAATTGACAATTCCGCCTGAAGGGCAAGATAAGAGCCCATAATTTCTTAAAAATTTGTTCCCCTTTCGCGCCCCGGATTTTAAACTTTCTACGAGGCACGCTGAGTTTTGCACAGCGCCTCCATGCCCACTTCATAGAGCAGGGCTATCAAACTCACGGCCTGCGGGCCAGATGCATCACGCGCTGGCCATGACCATGACCATGACCGGTTTAGCAAAAGAAGGGGGAAGTCCCGATACGTCACATGACAGTGCCATGACGATGCGAGTTTGACACCCCTGTCATACAGGATCAGCAGAGAGGACACCGATGCGTTATTTGTCTTGCGGATCGAGCTAAATAAAGTAGAAGTCAACCTCGGGTCATCCTAAATGTTTCAGGATGTGCACTTCAGCGGCTTAATTTCACAGAGGGAAGAAGGGATCCTCAGTAAACCAGCAACTTATAGGACAGGCAGGTTCACCTCATCATGTAGGCAAGTCCTCGACTTACAAAAGTTCATTTAGTGACCGTTCAAGATTACAAAAAGACTGGGAAAAAAGTGACTTGGGACCATTTTTCACACTTAGGGGCCGCTGTGGCATCCCCAGGGTTGCCTGATCCAAAATCCCAATGCCTGGCAACTGACTCGTATTTATGACGGTTTCGGTGTCTTCCGGGCTCACGGAATCCTCTTTTCCGACCTTCAGACAAGCAAAGTCAATGGGGAAACCAGACTCACTTAACAACCGTGATTACTTGCTTTTACAGCTGCGGTGATTCCACTTCACGACTGGGGCAAATGTTGTAAAATCGGCCAAAGCTCACTTAGCAAATGTCTCGCTTAGCAACATGAATTTTGGGCCCCAATGTGGTCTTAAGTGGAGGACTACCTGTACAGCCTTATGACTGATTGATTGATTGATTGATTGACTGATTTACTCACTCACTCACTCACCCCCTGGCCTAAGGCAGAGCCCACATTTCCCTAGCAATTTCTCATCCAAAGGCTAACCAGGCAAGATTCCGCTTAGCCCTGTAGCCAAAGCCAAGTCAGCCTACCTGCTCAACAGATCAAGAACTTCAGAGTCTTTCAAGGATCGTTTTGTAACTACGAACGGAATGAGGAAGGCAGAGAGGAGATTGCTTGTAAAACAGGGTGGAGCTAGGTTAGTGTTAATGGAGACATATTGCTATGTCTGCGGGGAAAACATCACATGGGCTTCCACAAAATCACCCAGGGTTCTTTTTTAAATAACATAATCACCCGGCCGTGTAAACACAATCAAAATAATTGTGCAAATGATCCATGTAGGCAGACCTGTAGTGTGGTGGTGGCAACTGCTGGATGACATCGTGGATTTTCACCAGTCTTTCTTCGTCGGTAGCAGCAGATACAGCATCCTGGAAAAGGGGAAGGAAAAAAATCCCAAAGTCTTAACCCAGCACATTTGTTTCTTTTTTTTTTTTCCCCTAAAGCTTTCCAGAAGAATATTATCAAAATCATAATGCAGAGCAAAAATAAATGCCTAGCTAAGTATATTACTTTGGCATTCTGTAGCAATTCCAATATACAGCAATGTATAGGTCAGGGGTGTCCAACTTTGCAACCCTGCTGACTGGGGAATTCTGGGACTTGGAGTCCACAAGTCTTAAAGTTGCCAAGATTTGGCGCCTCTCTTATGGGAGTTTTCCCCATATTTCTTCCTGGCAAAATAACTGTGAGAGTTATTCACTTACTTGCATCTCTTGGAACTTGAACTGAGATCTCTTAAATCCACATTGGCATTCTCAACTAAACCTAGTTTAGTTGCCAAATTGACATTGGCATTCTCAACTAAACCTAGTTTAGTTGCTAAGTTGACATTGGCATTGTCAACTAAACCTAGTTGCTAGTTTCTGGGCAAGATCTGTTTAATGTTTATATATTTTAATCTTAATCTTTTAATCTTACATTTTATATTTTAAATTCTGTGTAACGTATTTGAATTGTGATGCTTCTGACATGAACAAACGAACAGACTGCCATGGCTTTCTTCCTACAACGTCTGCAAGCAATAGATATCTTAGTATCTGTGATGACCCGGAGTGTAACACAAATGTAACAAAATCCAAAACGTAAATAAATGTTCTCTAATGCCTCCAACTTGGCCCCACTGTTCAACCATTCTCAGTTGGAGATAAAACGTGTTCAAAAATAGCCTTCAAAAGAAAGCAATACAGTCCAAACTTAATGAGCAGATAGAGGTGAAATAAAAAATCAAACAAACTACAGTGACGAAATTTCCACAACGGACCAGGATAAGTAATTACCAAATTCAAGGAGATAACAAGACACAGTCTGTTGGAAGGACACCAGTCAGGATAACATCAAACCAAAACAAAACACACTTTGTCTCCAGCATTTGCCAGAACGCAGGTCCAAACTCTTATGCAGTTCTCACGCCTGCAGCCCCTGAAGAGGATCAAGGCCCTCTCCTCCCAAGTAGACCACGACTCTCCCTTATCCTCTCCTCCCTGCAAGCCCCTAGAATGGAGAGAGGATGGGCCTGGGTCCTCCTCTGACTGCCCAACCGGCCTCTGCCCTTCCCCAGCCTCCTCCACAACCTCCGGAGCCACACTTCCACTCCCCGTCCTCTCTCTCAGAATCAGCCTCCACCAGGAGCATGACACTATCTATCAATTGATTTCACTACCACTCTAAATAAGCTTAAAGCTTCTTTTCCTCAGAGAAATGCCCTCCCACACTTCATGTTCTACAATATAATGGAAGATCGAATAGATTCTCATATATATTTTATACAGCATATACAGCAATGACATATGGGGAATATGCCAGTTATTTAAGCGTGCTCTGGTTTCTCCAAATCATCCATAGAAAATTTTAAAGAAATCTCTGAAACACAGCTCCTGATACCCGTATAATAAGGGTGGGAAAAACAATCTTACTGAAAATTTCTCATAGAGCTGGTAGGTGAGCAGAGGATTGGGGAGCTCTCGAAAATAGAGCTTGCAAAGTGAACCCACACAGTGTATATCCTGAATATAGACGTCTTTTGTCAAGTCGGGGATTTGTTCGGAGTCAAACTCGTGCCTGAAGGGAGGGAAAAACAAAAGGGGATGAGGATACATAAAAAAAGAATATATACAATCAGAAGGAAACATGATTTGCCTTTAACTCAAATATGAAAGAACTTAAAACACAAGTTGATGCTTTGTAAAGCTGTGTGTTTTTTTTTAGATGGTTTTCTGACAGTTTCATCTTACAGCCAATTAGTTTGCTCAGAAAGAACTACTAGCTGTAAAGTAGATGAGGCAATTACATAAATAATTGCAAGATACGTGGCCCATGTCATAGAGTCACATTAAGTATTAAATGACAGCTTCCTGTTTAGCTAAATTACTCATCTGTCAAACCTACAGAGCGAAAGACGAGTGAGAGGAATGAAATAAAGTCACTGAAAGCCACCCCCAGCCCATATACAAGCCAAAGAAACCAGAACCTTGTGAGTTTATTATCCAAACTATAAAAAAAGTTTTACTATGCAAACTATATTAAAAAAAACACCTCCCTATACCTACAAAATGAAGTACAACTGTTTTTGAAACTTGCTTCTATATTACCTGTGATCCTACTGAACGTTCTGGAGTCAGATATTATCTCCAGAAAAACCCATCTGTTTTCTATCCTAACTGATTATGTACTTTGGTTTTTCAGCCAGGAAAAGAATCTTAAAATCCAAAAGGCAGCTTTGGAGTGAAGGAGAAATCAGGTCTTAGAAAAAGGGCACGCAGCAGAGAATGAAACTCACAAATAATGCATACAACCTTACCGTAACTTTTGGATATTGGATGCGATCCCAGACAGACGATAGATTCCATCCACAATACCATGTTTTTCAATGAATTCAGTGCAACTCTTGAGGACCTGGGGAACTTAGAAGGAAAAGTAAGAAGTGTTAATGGACCATCAGATATTCTCAACAGCATCCTGGCAGATTTATCCATGAAAGGGTTCTTTCCCAAGCAACACTTTTCTTAAAACTCTTGCTTATCCCATTCGTTTATAGATCCAAACTGAAATCAATACATTTCAAAAAGTGGCCTCAGATAAGTACCACTGAGATCTGTTTCTAAATTGCAGGTATTACTTTATTTATCAGCTTTATTAAACTGCAGGGTGGAACTCCTAGCCTTTATTTAAACTCACTCCTCTCTATAAGTAACTGAATTTATAGCAACATTCTACAGTACTGTTTACTAACAACCATTGATTCAGAATTCATACAAATTCAAAGACCCCCCCACACACAAACACAAGTTTCGTTTTAGTTTTATATGTTGTAGAAATTCCGATATCGGTCTCTGTCAACCTTATATTGTAATGCATACCTAACCAACTGTGGTTTAGTCGAGAGGCCATGATTAAACAAAGTTGTTTAGATGTAATATGTGAATCTACTTTTTGTACCATTTAATCAACAGCATTAAGCAGATGGAATATTTTCGCTGGGTTAATGGCTAATTGAGGATTATTCATCCATTGTCACCCAGCATGTTTTTCTTTCTTTCTAGGGATAAATAGAAACAGGCAGTATGGAGGATGGGTTTAAATAACTGCTAGGAGTTTAACCCTGCAGTATAATAATACTGATGCCCAAGACTCCTACCCTGCGTTTTTAAGGCAAAGTGATGCTCAGGGACAATACTACACATCCCATGGAGGATTGGAGCTCCTAGTGATTGCACTGTTTTGTTTAACTTGCAAAGACAGCTAAATATTGCTATAGTTCTGCTCTTGGATTTGTTGTTTCTTAACTGGCTCTAGCTAGAAGATCCCAAGGCCTTTGGATAAAAATAAGAAAATCAGCTTAGGAATGTTGGCCTTTAGCCCACTCACTCTTGACCTAGACAGTTTCAGATTATCAAACCAGACAACAAGTTACTCTTAAGTTAATTATTAAAGTTGCTATATGTGTAAGGATATATATTTGAGCATATTAATCAGAGGAATAGAAAGAAAGAAAGCCACCTCTACAGTTTCCAGAAGACAGCATTAAATCAGTAACTGAAAAAGCAGCGACTCGGATTAGGATCAATTCAAAAGCAGCTAGCATTAGGCACACGTAAACATTCAGACTAACATACCAACCAATCCAACAGCAAACCATTTGAAACAGCCAATTCATATACTTTTGGCCTCCAAAGGAGTAAAACAGATTTCATGGCGAATATCTTAAATACCACTTAAAACTGGTATTTGCCATGGTTAAAACATAACAAGCACACACATTTAAACCCTTGCAGATACCATGACTAGATAACTTTGAAAGATTCTTCGGAGAGTTTAAAACCTATTTGTATTAATCTGCCAACTCTCATAAACTGAGAACTGAGAAGGTATACTGAATAGTTCTTAAAAGCAAATCTGTATATAGCAGATAGCATTGTCTCAGGGAACAATTACAACACTAGATTTCCTGGACAATTAGGTTCTTATTGAGTTGGAACATCCCAAAAATTATTAAAAGGAATGCTCAAGAAAAAAAAATGTAAAAGGGAGACCCAAGACAGGAAGACAGAGATCTCTTAAGCCCAATACTGAACTTGCTCTGTTTGCTATAAGCTCAAACCCAGTTTTGGCAGTAAGATATTTTAAATGCATTTTAATTGCAAACCCTTCGCAAGGACAGGTGTATTTTTCTTGATTATTTTAATCGAGTTAGTGATGATGGGAGACAGGTTGCTGGACACAACAGGCATTTGGCCCAAGCCAGCAAGGCTTCTCTTGCAATCTTAACTAATTCACAAAAATCACTGCCTGGCTATTTGCAAGTTTGCTTCTCTAGGCCATCAACCTCAACTTGTAGCAATTACCCTTTTAAATTATAGATTCCAGAAACAATGGCTTGTTACTGGGCTTTATCAGTCTGTGCTCGGAACATTCTTTAGAATATAACTGCTATGCTCATTAGGAGCCCACATTTTAGGTATTAGGATCTGCTAACATGAAAGGATGTGAAAAGGTCTACTGTGTCAAAATCATAAGAATATAACTTTTAAAAAATGAAAACAATAAACCCTCTCTCCATCCATCCATCCATCCATCTTCCCTCTTCAATTTAAAAACCTCAACTTTTCTCTCCTAATTCCTAGTGAAACTGGTCCCCTAAATATTTGACTCAAATAAAGCATAACATAGTTTTCAAAACCAAGGAGAACCCCCCCCCCCCCCAAAAAAAATCATAAGTACATCTGTATTTGCCAATGGTTTAATCCATTAATGAATAGTTTAAAACAGGCATCCCTAACCCCTGTTAGGAACCGGATCGTGCAAGCAAGCGAAGCTTCATCTGCACATGCGTGTCAAAACCATTCCCTCCCCCCATGGAAAAACTGTCTTCCATGAAACCAGTCCTGATGTATTCATTTGTACATTCATTTTTACATGTATTCAGGGCATTTGCCATGCTCTTTATGGTATTTGTCTTTCATTAACTCCATTCTCCTCCAGGAAGACCTTAGGCCAGAGGTCTCCTCCAAATGTGGCAACTTTGAGACTTGTGGGCTTCAACTCCCAGAATTCCGCTGAAGAATTCTAGGAGTCTGGAGAAGTCCACAAGTCTTCAAGTTGCCACATTTGGGGATCCCTGCCTTAGGCCCTGCACAAAAACACCCAGAGGTTCTCAAGGACCCCCATTATCCCCACGGTCACCCCTCTGAATTGCTTTATTGACACAACAATGGATACGGAGAACAAGCTCAACAGGTTCCCCTTCACTTTTGTCTCCTGGAGCTTTCCAGCCTTGGAACAAACAGCGCCAGGGAGAGCTGTATCTGTCATCATTAAATTTTAGGAACATCCCACTGTGACATTTAACATCCAGGTAAAAGAGAAAACAATCCCCTTCTCAAAAGTGAAGAGGGGACAAAGATTTTTTTTCTAAGATGGTACGCATAGATAAGTCTTTGACGTTACAAATTGAAAAAGTAGAAGCAGCATTAAAAGTGAATATCAGCATCTGTGCCACTGAATGTACATGAAGGTGGGGATCAGAGTACAAATATTCCCCTCCAAAGAAGGATAGAAAGATTTTTAAAACCTGTAAAACAGATTCAGGTGTTTATCTCACGATGTATCCAACCCAAAAGATTCCCAGTCCAGCTACTGGGGCATCAGCATTGGGGAAACTAGCACCAAAGACTTTGTTGGAATCCTCTACAGGTAGTCCTCGGCTGACGACCACAATTGAGCCTGACGTTTTTGTCGATAAGTGAAACATTTGTTAAGTGAAGAACTACAGTTCTTCACTTAAATTAGCAACACGGTTCTTAAGTAAATCCGGTTTTCCCATTGACTTTGGCTGGTTGGAAGATCACATGACCTTGGGACACGGAAACGGCCATAAATGTGAGTTTGTTCCCAAAGCATCTGAATTTTGATCACGTGAGCAGGGGGATGCTACAACAGTCATAAGTGTGGAAAAATGGTCATAAGCCACTTTTTTTAGTGCTGTTGTAACTTCGAACAGTCACTACGTGAATTTTTGTAAGTTGAGGGAGACCTGTAGCTCATTTGCCATGTTGTTAAAGGAGGAAGAGGAACACTAAGTTGGCCAAACATTCCACAGTCCTATTTGTTCTCCAGAGACACATTAATTCTCTAGTCTCCCTGTCAAAATGGATAAGAGGACTTCTTTTCACCATGCAACTGTGCCACAGAATGGCTAATTCAAAAGCCTTTCATCGTATGAGGATACAATTAAAATCTTTCACATGAATTAATTACGTTATAGCCACAATTAAGAAATCTACAGTACAAATGTAACTGCTTGCATATGATTAAACAAATGTGCTTATTTCCTGATCACAGTTAGTTGGATATCAATTGCTGAACAAATCATGTGTGATGACCTGGGGCGTAGCACAAAGGCAACAAAGTCTAATCAGTAGGAGTCCCTTTATTAGCTCCAACTTTGTCCCCAATGTCCTGGTTACCTTCTGGCTGGAGAAAAACTCTCCTTGGCTGCAGAGAATCAAGTCCAAAACGTGGTCAACAAAAACTGTAACCATAAGTCCAATCAAGGCAAAATGAGGTAATTAGTTCAGCAGGGCAGGAACAAGAATTCCAGACGTGAAGGCACAGCAATAACTCAACACGGTTGGGAAGACGCCAAGAACACAGATAACTAAAGTCAACACAAGATAAACTCACATTTACTCCCCGCAGCTGCTGCACTCAGCATGCATTTATTTTAACTCTCATCCTAGCTGTGGCTAAGGAAGGGAATCAGGGCCCTTTCCTCCCCCACAAGCCATGCAACCCACATTGCTCCCTTCTCTGTTTCTCCCTGCATGCCCTAGGATGAAGAAGGGGTGGGCCTGGGTCTTCCTCTGAACTCCCTCTTCCTTGTTCTACCTCCCCTGCTCTGCCCAGCTGGACTTTGCCCTTCCCCAGATTCCTCCACAGCCAATGGAGCCACACTCCCACTCCCTATCAGCTGTTCGGCTTCCTCCTCAGATTCAGACTCTGACAGGGGCATGACGTCAGGGAACCTTCTTCACCTTAATGGTTCTTCCTATGTATCTGTAGGTGATGGACGTAGCCGATTGTCAGTTTGAGACCGCAATCTCCTTGGATTCTCATGTTACATTCAGGTTTGATACTAGACTGACAGATTGGACTCTAGATATTATGAAGAAGGATGTTGATATTAATGTGAATGGTATTCTTGGGATACTAAGTTTCATGGTATCTTTTAAAATGGACAGGTTTCTCCAAACAAAATACCTAATCAAAAGGATAATCCATGTTTTGATACAGTAATGTTCCAATTTCCCTCTTCCCATCCAGTTGTCTTTCAGAATATTCTCATATTTATGTATAAAATTCCTTTTGGAACAAATTCCTTTTGGTCAAATATCTGAAGTCTTTC